TCTCGCTGACATGTCAGGAGACGGAGGGAAGAAATAGTCCCTCCGTGGCGGTGGACGCTTGCCAGACGGCGGTAAATGTCACACACTCTCCTGGTGTCTGGAATCTGAGGGCAGGGTCTCTGAGCATCAGCGCCACAAAGAACTTCCCTATAAGGTCATCTCTCTCAGGCTCACACACACACAACACAACACACACACACACACACACACACACACACACACACACACCCACACACACACACACACACACACACACACACACACACACACACACACACACACACACACACACACACACACACACACACACACACACACACACACACACACACCACACACACACACACACACACACACACACACACACACACACACACACACACACACACACACACACACACACACCACACACACACACACACACACACACACACACACACACCACACACACACACACACACACACACACACACACACACACACACACACACACACACACACACACACACACACACACACACACACACACACACCGCTGTCAGTACCAGACTCCAAATCTCGGAGGAGAACAAATCCACTGCAGATCTGAGGAAAGTGTCCGACATACAAACCCTTAAGGAGATAGATCTGTCTCTATGTTATTTATATATTCATGTTATACCTCTTAATGTGTGTATCTGTATGTACTGAATGTGTATATAGATATTTAAGTGGGTGTTCTGGTTTGTATGTTTATATTTATATATATTCTTATTCTTTGGGACGGTGAGAAACAGCATTTCTATCTCCCTGTATCACACAAACACATTGACAATAAAGTTGATTTTGACTTTAGTATTATTTGTGTGTACAGTCTGACGGCCGTCCACAACGCAGCTTCCCATTCACTTTGAATGGGGTGACGTCACACCTTGCCGAAATGCATTGTGGCTCCGTCGCTTCGCGTTGCTCGCTTTAAAAGTTGAGAAAAGTTAAACTTTTCAAGCTTCGACGGAAGCGTCAGCCAATCAAATCATATGCCAGTACAAGCTCTGGCCAATCAAACCGCTGCTTGTGTGTCAGGGACGGGAGATTCATGTCATTGGTTGTTGGTCGAGCTTCAACGCACGCTGCCGTGTGGACGCTGCGTGAGTGTAAATGTGTAATATTTGAATGTGAAACACCCTCAGTTCAAGCGCAGATGGTTACCCTGAATCACATGGTAGAGAAAGGGCAACGAAAGCGTGGGAATTAGCTCTGGAAAACCACTGGACTTCAGTAAGGGCGGTGGTGGCGAAGTCCATAGGGACTTGGCTTGGCAACTGGAAGGTCACCGGTTCAAGTCCCGGAAAGACCAAGTGCTACCGAGGTGTCCCTGAGCAAGACAGCGTTCCCCACACGGCTCCCCGGGCGCCGTACATAATGGCAGCACACTGCTCCTAACACAGGATGGGTCAAATGCAGAGAAACCGTTTCGTTACATAGTTCCTGTGTAATGACAATAAGTTGAATCTATCTATCTAAGGACCATCACTACCTCAGTGTAAAAACACAACTAATCCATGACCAATGTCCTGCACTCGTTTGAAAGACATTTTTCTGAAGATGCTCCAGTTTCCTGAAGATGCAAAGGAGTGGGAAGGGTCTCTATTGTAGGAACAGACCGAGCTGCAGTGTGAGAACAGAGGATCTGTCCGGTGTTGCTCACACTGTACAGAGGGTGATCCCAGTATAAATACTTCCGGCGTTTTCGGCGTGAATTGTCAGATTTCACGCCGAAAACTCAGAAATCAGATTCCTCTCTCCAGTTACAGTAGTCATGCATTTCTTTATTATTTAACACCACTTTGTGTATTTGTTTTATCCCCTCCCAAAATACAGGCACATACTAGTATTAATAAAGTCAAATGTATCATGATTAATCTAATTTGACTATATTGAATGACGTACTGCTTGATTACACTCGTCACGATGCTGTTTGTCTTGTTGCGTCGACCCACTTCCAGCCGTGATTTGGAAAAGCGGCATATAAATAAATAAATTATCATATTTATTATCATCTGTCTGAGCAGCACAGACAGCCAGCAGCCGCCTCGTCGCTTCAAACGCTCCCAGATTACATTTCAAGACACTAACCAACAAAGACGGCGTGCAATAATCGTGTTTGGAGAGAAAGCTCGATGCGTTACGGGGACAGTAACGCGATTTCGGGGAGCGAGAGTGATTATTCAGAGCTGCAGCAGCACTGATCTCTGCAGGATATTCTGCTCACGTCTCAGTGTTTCCTCTCGCCTGCGTCACTCCTCCTCTGCAAGGCCGGGGTCACTTTGGAGCTCCGGCAGAATATCATGCAGGGAAAAGGAGCCATGGAGGAAGATATCTGCAGGATTTCTGCTGATTTCTGCTTTAAGATATTTAAGATTCAAGCTATTTTGAAGCGAGTGTTTGACAGATGACACACGTTCCTCTTTAAACATGAGCCAAATAATCCCAAAGCCAAAATAAAATGACATTTATAGCTTGTTAAAATGTCGTTTAAACAGTTTTTTTTGCGTTGTTATGGATGTGATTTAGGGTTACTCTCATGATCAATTATTCAGCAGATTTTTGGGATTATTTCTTGTTTCATTGATCAAATAAAAAGGATAGAATATAATGAAATATGTCCATCAAAATGCAATGTAAATCAAGGCAAATTTTAATAATAAAAAAAACAACACAATGTATTGAATAACTATGAATAATCTGTCTTAAATTGGCTTGATAAGAAATGTCGTTTTACTATGAAAATCGCAGAAAATAAGTCATTTTTCATCCAAGTTTCGGAAAGGTTAAAGTAAATTAACCCAAATTTGGCTAATTTTAAGGAAAATATCGCACATTATGACAAAACGTCTCATTGGCTAAATAAGATATCTATTTGTTCTATTAGACGTTCTGTCTATAATGTCAGAATTGGAAAGAATCATGAGTAATAATTATCCTAATTGAAAGTAAAGTATCCCCCATGTTGCATGTAAGAAAATCTGTCTGTTTGGCTTAATAAGAAATCTTTGCGAGTATTACGTTTAGAAATAAAAAGGTCACAAAATGGCTTTAAATGTCATGATATCAAATAGAGGAGCGGAGCAGCACATATAATTGGGGGTTATTTTTGCTTCAATCAACTCATAGATTCAATCTGTTAAAAGGAATCTCTGCACAGAATCTCGTAAACGAATCCTTTTAAATGTCATGTAGAGGTGTGTGTACAGCATCTAACAGACGTCACACACACACCGTCTGCGCATCCTCTGCACACACTGTACATGTGTGTGTGTGTGTGTGTGACGTTTGTTGGATGTGTAGGAGGAGGAATGCTGAGGTCCTTCTCTTATCTTCACCCTCTGTTTCACCCAGAGCCTCCGAGGTGATGCAAGAATGTATTCAGTACATCGCCGGGTTTATTTATAGCTCAGATTATGGTATTCTGTATTAATAGAGACGGTGACAGTCCTGCAGATGACAGGTGTCGGATCCCAACCTCCCAGCATGCACTGGGGCACATTTCTGCTGCAGGACTCCCCAGTGACCTTGACAAGGGCAGACGGAGAAGCTGGTCTTTTTTCAGTGATTCTTTATGGAGAAACTCAGTGTTACCGATCTGTCGATTAAAGGGGCCCTATCATGCTTTCTGGGGTCTCTCTTTCCTGTAGTGTGTTCTATAGGTTTTGGTGCATGTAAATGGTCTGCAGAGGCTAAAATCCCTGTGTTCCCTCTCCCTCTGTTTCTCCCCCATGACATCACTATGTAACACTCACGCTTCTATTGGCTAGTGCTCCAACACATTGTACGTGATAGGCTAAGGGGCGGGACATCTCTAAGCGGTTGACCAATCACAACAGAGCCGGCCAGCTAACCAATCAGAGCAGACTGGGCTCTGGTTTCAGACAGAGGGTGAAAAGAGGTGCGACTTTGATGATTTCGTTGTATGTTTATTTATTGTTTTATTACGAATGTATGACGATAGCGTGAGGTATAAATATGAATGGTCTTTCTTTTACTTTGTCAGTTCAACGTTTTTTCTGAAGGGTAAATTAACTTTCAAACTAAACCTGCTGCTGAACCCGCCAACAAAAAGAAAGATATTCAGATCTATGCATCAGTTTCTTTCTGCATATATTATAAACTACAATTAAACAATGATGTTGCATAAGACCACACACACACACACACACACACACACACACACACACACACTAAAGTGCCCAGCCCTTTGAGACAATGGGTTAATAAGAGCAGCTGAAAATACTTCCTCTCGCAGGGTGAGTCACCTCTGCAGTGGCACATTTTGATGGAGGGGGGGGGGGGGGGGTTGCTGGTGCTAAATGTGATCCATGACCATATGTGGACTCCAGCAATCACACATCTATCATATTAGCACACCAGGTCTTTAATTTAATCTAAAACCTTTTGAAAAGCAGGGAAAAGGCTGTTTTACAGGGAAACAAAACATTTTGGATAAAGAATTCGTGTCTTAATGCTCTTAATGTCTTTCATTTCTGTGAAGCACTTTGAATTGCCTTGTGTCGAAAGGTGCTGCATGAAGTAACTTGCCTCGCCTCAATGTGCATGTTGTATCCAGGTGTTTGCTGAGAGGGGAGTCTTTAAGTTAAGGCTGCAATATGGACAAGAGCAATATCCAAAAAGAGGCAACACGTGACAATATCTAAATGTAAAACTAATGCAGCGACGTATGGAAAGAAATGTGTTCCTCTCGTAAAGAAAAACATAATAACAATTACTTAACCTTTTTAAATCTTGTAGTCCGATAACAAATAAAAACAAAAACTTAATAAGCTCCCTGATACTCGAAGCAACACAACAATAACTTGCAACAGATATTCAAGTGTTTTGAATTCAGTCTTTCTGCTGCTTTCAGTATAAAAACAATGCCTTTAACATCAAGCCTTCATCAAGACCAAGGGTTTGTTTAAGGTCCAACATGACTTAGTTTAAGGTAACGCAGACGCTCGTCCTACCTGCGATCTCCACGATGTCTCCGGGCACGATGTCCCGAGCTTTGATCCTCTGTACCGTCTTCCTGTCCTGACGGTACACTTTCCCCATCTCCGGCTCGTACTCCTTCAGCGCCTCGATGGCATCCTCAGCGTTACGTTCCTGCAGAGAGGGAGACGTTCAGAGAGGAGGACATCACATTCGCTACACTCTAGGTATTGTCTAAGAACTGGATATCATAGCGTCTATGTTTTACTGGTTTTGAAGGCTGCGTTACAGTAAAATCATGTACTCTGTTACTGTAATCTCTCTTTAATGTTTATCCATTAAAAGAATCCACATCTCTGACGGTTATTCCTCTAAAAAGGAGCCATGAATGTCAGAAAGTGGTGATTTATGTTGTGAAAAGACAGTCCTGATTATTGTGAAGGGTGAAATATGAGTCAAGGAAGACCTCATTACATTCTGGAGTTGATCCGAATCACTCGGCGAATACACGTTATTTTTGCATTTTCCTTAAAGGTCCCGTGTCATGGCCATTTCTACTGATCATAATTCCATTGTTGAGGTCTACTAGAATACATTTACATTGTGCAAGTGTGTGTGTGAGGAAGTCGGCGGATTGGTCCAAACGTAACTGCTCCGCGGATTGGTCAATTTGGACCAATCTGCGGAGCAGTTACGTTACGTCACTGTACCCAATAAGTAAACAATGGAAATGAGAAATGTCCAACGAGGCGTTCTGGGGCAGCAGACAGGTCTTCTCTGTGTTAGAGTTTTACTCGCTACAGGGTGTACTTTGAGGGTTTGTGACTCTGCAGACCGTTTACATGCAGAAGCTACATAACACACAAGGGGACGGGTCATAACCAGAAAAGCATGTCATGGGACCTTTGAAATTAGGAAATAGGGCATTTCTGGTATGTTCACTTGGTGGCGGAATAATTAGAAAAATGAAATCCCAGGTCGAAAAAGGAAATCGAAAACACACACAGCAGACATAGAAATACAAAACATCCTTTGTCTAGAGTCCATGTTGTTTCCACATGACGACTTTAAGCTCTTAAAGACACTGAAGTCGGGAGAACAATTTACCAAACTCGGTAATTTGAAAAGCACCTGAATGCACCATCAGAGTGCAATTCTAGGTTGTAACTGGGGACATTTAGAGGCAGAGCATATTCAAATGGGAATATATGTTTGGTTTACAGCGCTACACAAGGTATTAACTGCTTTTATTGACATTGCGAGATAGGGCAGTTGGGTGTTGCATTCATGTGGTGTTGGAATAATCTGAAAAATGAGTTTGCAAGTTGAAAAAAGAAAATCTAAAACGGTGACCGTGAATACAGAAATACAAAACATCTTCTGTCTAGAGTCAATGTTGTTTCCACATGACGACTTTAAGCTCTTAAAGACACTGATGTCCAACTTGGGAATTTGGATCATTCAAGGTGCTCCTGAATGCACCATCTGATTTTAGGTTTTGAACATTTTGGTTTTGGGCAAAAGAAAATCGGAGTATATTTACAATTCATGGGGGGTACACAAGTTATTAACAGCTTTTATTGACATTGCGAGATAGGGCAGTGTTGCTTGGTAAATTCAGCCTTTAAGTCAAACAAAAAGATATAAATAGAGATTTTAACGTGTTATTCAAACACTCTGAACAATAATCCACTAAGAGAATGGAAAATATAGCTATAAGGATTAGAAATTAAGTTCATATACGTGAAATAAATCCCACAAATGGATGTCTATGATTAGCATTTTCCTCTCCTTCTTTCTGTATTTTGTTTTTTGTTTTGTCTGCCCTATTTCCATTTACCAATTTCTTTCAAATGCAAATAAAAAAACAAATAAACCAAAGCGCCTGCTCACCTGCCACACCCCGACGATGGCGTTGGCGATAAGAATCAGTAAAATCACAAACGGCTCCACAAAGGCTGTGATCGTTTCCTCGCCCTCCTCGAACCACGCCAGCACCTGAACACAGAGACACGCTTTGTTAGAAGCACATTTAACAGAATGAACAGTGATAAGAGAACATGTCAAAATCCAGACAGCACAAGCAGAGGTGTTCATAACCCATAAAAACATTAGTATAAAATCCCTCCTTCTAGATTAAATGATTGAATTAGGGACATGAACTGGACACGTTTGTTTTTATATCTTATAACTTTTATATCTTAAAAAGGCACCAGTGTTTATTAAAAACCCTCCTATTGTCTTTGTTTCCCCCCCCCCCCCTTACTTTGGTGTTCAAACTTGACCGGTCCTGTTTTAACTGCTATTACATTAACACTAAAACATTAATCATCACCCAATTTAATTTAACACCCTTTCAAACTGTACATATTGTATCAGACTACTGGTATACATGAACAACTGCAGTAAATATACAAAGAATAGACACTGAACATGTATTGCGTCTGCCAGGTGTGATCCATGTGGGGGGAGGGGCACATAAGAGCGGGAAAAGTATCAATTGACTCGCCTCCCTTATGGGGACAAATTGGAGGTCCCCATAAGGGGAATCATTCATTTTAGGGTGAAGACTTGGTTAGGTTTAGGGTTAGGGTTAGGGTTAGGGTTAGGCATGTGTTGGTTATGGTTAAGGTTAGGATAAGTCTCCAGGAAACGCATGTAAGTCAATGTAATGTCCCCTGAAGTGATGTATACATGGTATGTGTGTGTGTGTGTGTGTGTGTGTGTGTGTGTGTGTGTGTGTGTGTGTGTGTGTGTGTGTGTGTGTTTTATCTGATCCGGATGGTCACTAATTCCTTTTCTTTATGGCGGTCATTTCTGACCGGGAACACCATGGGTGTTACAAAGTTGACTAAATCATCCAAAATGCAATGAAAGTGGTGATCAGCAATTGTATATGTTAAAATGTCTACTGTGAAGGATATCATGAAGCCAATCGAATGTAAAACAAAAAAGTTATGATTGATGAAAGTAGTAAATCGGTCAGATTTGACCCGAAGACGACAGGAGGGTTAAAGTATTGGTCATTAGGCATAAGCTTTCTAATTGCTGCCATTTCTCACATAAAAGCTGGAAATACTTATATAATTGATTTTAAAACTGCAATGATTAGTCTAATGAGGATAACATCATCCTCAACTTCATCAATAAGTAATTGATACGGGAAAAAAATGGTGTAATAAGATTGAGATTTTTTTAAGCTTCTTCCATGCTTATTTCCAATAAAAGTATACGCATTTCTCTCGTGAACACAAGCTATTGCATGGTTCACTGGGAATACACTCAGTTCAACAGATCCAATCAATAACATTTGAAAGTAATCGCTAACTATTTTGATAAATGATAGATCGTTAAGGATTTCATGCAGAAAGTCAGATAATATTCATTTTTAAGTTGGAAATTTTGGTTTTCCCAGTTCTCCCATAGTTCTTCCAAGGTGATCTGTTCAAATGTCTTTCGTCAGTCCAAAACACAAAGATTAAATTGAAAGAGAAATAAAAACAGAGAAAAGCAACATTTAAGAGGCTAAAAACTGCCTTTTCTGTTCTGTGTTTTTTGTTGTCATTTTCTGTCCAACTATGCAATAAATTATCAAAAAAGTGGGCCTTATTCTGTCAATAGACTGATCCTTGCAGCTCTATATGAATGCATTTAAAAAAAATAAACAAACTGTTCTCTAAACACCAAACTGACCTAATGAAATCCAGTTTAGATTACTTGAACTGGCTTTGATACTGGATACATATCAAAGTACAGGAGCCATTCATTCCATGTTGAAGTGTGTGTGTGTGTGTGTGTGTGTGTGTGTGTGTGTGTGTGTGTGTGTGTGTGTGTGTGTGTGTGTGTGTGTGTGTGTGGTCGGAGACCTCCCACTGAGGGTGAGGGCCCAAATTTGGTCTCAAGTGGTGCTCTGTCCCCTCGTCAGACAGCAGACACTGACACCTCCGTATCACCTGACTGACACTACATACCACACACACACACACACACACACACACACACACACACCACACACACACACACACACACACACACACACACACACACACACACCACACACACACACACACACACACACACACACACACACACACACACACACACACACACACACACACACACACACACACACACACACACACACACACGTCTACAGATGTATTCCCCTTAATCCACTAAACGTTAGCTAGCTAGTTTATGTGAGTATCACATAATGCCTCATTTGCATATTTAAACATAACATTTCAGAAAACTTGTAATACAAAAGATAATTGTCTTACTGTCATTAATGAACTGGGTAAGTGTCATGATGATATCTATTAGTTAACTTTGTTACCCTATCCACCTGTGGTATGTACGAAATGCATGAATATACACTTTATTTCTAAAAATATGCTTTTTAAACGGCATTATTTTCTGATTTATGGAGTGATACAAAGAGAAATATTATACTCTAATATGTCAACAAAATGAAACAAGAATTTTTAACAGGCTTTAACCAATGTTACCATTTCTGACCTTGAAATGTATGCAAATTAGCCGTATTTTAATAAGATAATGCCTCATTTGCATAGTTTTACATAAGATTACAGAAAGCCTGTAATACAAAAGTTAAATGTCTTCATGTCATTAATCAACTGTGGACATTTCATAGATATATCTGTTAGTTAAATGTTTCACCCTATTCACCTGTAGGGTGTCAAATCCATGACTTGCTGCACAGACTACAAAGTGTTGCTTCTTTAATGGCACTTTTTCCTCACTTTAAGAAGTGCTTGCTCATGATGCCATTCCATAATGTGATTAAACATTTAACTGTCTCGCAGTGAAAGTCAAAGGGGGGGGAATGTGTGTGTGTGTGAGGGGGGGGGGGGCTACTGACACAGCAACCATGCTTGAAATGTCTTACTGTGCACATGGTGAGAGAAACTCAATCTGCTTCCGTCACCATTCCTCAGATGTCAGCTGTTCAGCCTTTAATAAGTGTGTGTAACCTCAGCCGGGTTAAACACACTGAAGACGTTCACACTTCAGCACCATGCGCCCGCAAATCACCCCCGACACTTGGGGTTTAATAATAATCCCGTCTGCAAATGTGTCTTCACATAAACAGTCCTTCACCCCGAGGTGGGAATGGGGAGCTATTTGTGGGACGATGGGCTCTCCTCAGAGTCATAAACAAACATACATACTAACACTAGGAGAGAAACGTGCAGCCGGCAGAAGAATAAGTACAATTAAGATTATTTACCATGAATGTAATTAAATGTAGGGATGTAGAATAGGGAAATACAGAAATACTTTTTTTTTTAAATCAAGCTGCGGAAATGAGAAACATTTGATTATACGACAATTTTTGTTCAATTTCAAGTATTTTGTCTTGTTGTTTTTCACTGCCTTTTCGGGCAGGCAGTAGCGAAATACTCAATTAAACTTGTATTTGACTACATTTTCAGGAGATTTCTGGTACTAGTAGTTACATTCATATGTGTTTCAAGGAGTGTAATCATATTTATGTGTCATTTTATGTGTAATTACTACAGTTTTGGTCCATAAAAGTCAGAGCGGTAATGAAGCTTAGCGCAAGTTCAAGAAGGAAGACCATACCCCCTGGTGTTACACGTCACTGCAAGCTCTTCTCCCATTAAGTAATCAGGGGCGGTACTCCCCAGCTAGCAATCATTGCACCTGCTAAACCCTTTAAATCTGCTCTTCCCTCTCTGTCAGTTGTCATTTCAGGTGTCAACGCAACCCGCCTCCACCCCTTCTCCTCCTGTCTCCTAATTCAGGGCCAAGCTAATCCTTCTTCCTCCAGACCAGACCGAACCATTATCACCACCACCAGTGTCTAGACCCCGGGGGGTTCATCGGAGCGGTTTTCCCCTCCTGAATGATATCCTACAAACCGGGGCCTAATCTCCAAACATCAGTTGATTCATTGTTGTAATCTGTCAATCATAATTTTCTATACCACGTGTCCGGTATTAAACATGTATTTCATACATCACGTCTCTCATGATTGAACTTATTTTCTTGCTTCTCTACTGGAATATATGGAAGAATATTAGGGGGAGTTACCGCTCTGCCATTTAACACACACTACAATAACAATCCCATCTGCAAATGTGTGTTAGCATACATACACACTCCTTCACCCTGAGGTGGAAATGAAGAGCCATTTGTAGGATGCTTAATGTAATGTTTAGCTTATAGAGAAATAATGTACGGAAATACTCACAAAAGATATACACGCGGCCAGCAGAAGAATTCGAACCAATAAATCTTCAAATTGTTCAAGGACAAGCTCCATCAAAGATTTCCCTGCAAAAACATTAAGTAGGTTATAAAAACCATCCATTACAGACACTGGTTATTATCATAAAATGACAGTAAGAGACATTCAGTGCTTACCTTCTTCTGCTGGTAACTCTGTGTGTGGAGATCCAGGGAACACACAGGAAATGAAAGAAAAAGAAGGTGTTTAGTATAAAAAACTATTACATAACACACAATGACAGATGGAGACAAGCACCTCCTGTATCCTGATGGGGAGCTGACTCCTACAACAAGAGCAGGGCAATATGTTCCCTTAATTCGAGCTCAATTACTCAAAATGAATTGGAATCACGAGGGAGTAGCGCAGTGAAAATGTATTTTTGTAGGTTGGTCCTGAAGGCAGCATCTCCCTTGTTCCCTCCACAAAAAGCCCATGTGATTTTGGATTATTGCAAAAAACACATTTTGTTCAGCAGGATAATCTCCACACATTAACACCACTTGATGTAGTTTGAAGTAAAAAGCTAATGTTAACTACAGCATGGTCACATGACTTCACGTCACCACCGCTAAGCTAAAGGAGGCTAATGTTGGGCTATAAAGGAAATACAGCACGGTCACATGACTTCATGTCACAGCCGCTAAGCTAAAGGTGGCTAATGTTGGGCTATAAAGGAACTACAGCACGGTCACATGACTTCACGTCACCACCATCCACTACACCTCTATGGTACCCATGTACATGTCAAAATGCTTCCCAAAGGTCAAGGAATACCATGATCATAACACCAGAGGGAGCTCCACAAATCATGTGAAACCCAGATTTGGCACAAAAAAGGGGGAATACACGTTTCGCAATTATGCCACATCAAGGTGGAACGCTCTTCCCACAACTGTAAAGGAAAGTAAAACTATACTTACCTTCAAAACCTCTCTTAAAGAGCACCTTCGGGGGAGAGCATTGCAAAACTGGCCCCGGTAATGGTACAAATCTCAACCTGTCGTTCAATGGACAGCTCCCCCCCCCCCCATCTATGTATATACTCGCATTTTAGACTCTGTTACTAACTGTATATCTGTAGACTTGGTATGTCTTAAATGTCCGGTTAGGATGTATTAGAACGAAATCTAAAATGAAAATTGTAAATAAGCAATCTGTATGTAAAAAACCACCTGTATGTAAATTGTAAATAAGCCATCTGTATGTCAAATATGTCTTATATGTCTTACATGACATGATGAATTGGAAATGGGGGACCCTGATGTAAACAAGACGAAAGTCTTTCTCTGGTCTGCATCCCCTTAACAATTGTATGTTTTGAGCTGTACTGTACTGTACCCAATATACAAGCTGTTAATAAACTTTTCAATCAATCAAAACCGCTAAGCTAAAGGTGGCTAATGTTGGGCTATAAAGGAACTACAGCACGGTCACATGACTTCACGTCACCAACGCTAAGCTAAAGGCGGCTAATGTTGGGCTATAAAGGAACTACAGCACGGTCACATGACTTCACGTCACCAACGCTAAGCTAAAGGAGGCTAATGTTGGGCTATAAAGGAACTACAGCACGGTCACATGACTTCACGTCACCAACGCTAAGCTAAAGGAGGCTAATGTTGGGCTATAAAGGAACTACAGCACGGTCACATGACTTCACGTCACCAACGCTAAGCTAAAGGAGGCTAATGTTGGGCTATAAAGGAACTACAGCACGGTCACATGACTTCACGTCACCAACGCTAAGCTAAAGGTGGCTAATGTTGGGCTATAAAGGAACTACAGCACGGTCACATGACTTCACGTCCCCACCACTTAGCTAAAGGCGGCTAATGTTGGGCGTGATGACGTTAAGTTGTCTCATTTAGACACTTGTTAGCAGCCGCCGTTTGTAAATAAAACATTCACAATTATCCTCATAGTGGAAATTCACCACAATCAACTTATTGTGAGTTTGTTTAATCAGGTCCAGTGATAAAATCTCACATTGTCCCAAACAGTATCAGGTTGTACTTCTTACAGAGTGGCCTTTAAATCCACTCCCTTAGCCTTTAATACACAATAGGCCCAAAATAAAAAGGAAACTCTGTAAAGGTCAGATTTAAAGGGGCGTTCCTACCCGGTGTAATTAATATAAAACAGCTGCTAAAGCATGTCACTATGACCAGACCAAAATAAATCACAATATTCTCCCAAAAACAATCAAAAGATTCACAAAACTCTGCATTTCCCCCATATTTAATGCAAAAACGAAATGCCTTTTTAATGTTTTAGTGATATTTAAAGAGTCTTAAGGATCTTTTGTCTCACAGTAAGTTGAGTGCGGTGTATTTTCATTAGCAGGTTAATGGTGAAAATCGTTGGGTGACTTTAAAAAGCCTCCCACCTCGCAATGATTGTAAAAATGCTAGAAAATGCTCACAATTCTGACTTAAATCTAAAATAATTGAGGACAAAATGTTATATTTCTTTCTGAAAATCTCAAGAATTATGAACTTGTGAACTCAGAACTCAACCAAAATATCCCTTTTGTCCGGATCTGATCAGATTTACATGTGGCCCTAACTCTCTTCCGTAGAAATTGGTATCTGTAATCGTGATATTAATATAAAATCCTACAATGTCCCTTCACTTACTAACATTAGTATCAACAGAATGGCATATTAATCCACTCCCTTAACCTTTAACACACAATGGGACAAAAATAAAAAAGGAAACTCCAATCAATGTAAAGGTCAATAGTGATTCAAAGGGTCAGTATATCCTCCATGACCTCCCAGGTGATATTAATATAACAGCTGCTAAAGCCTGGAACAAGAGAGATTAACTTCACGGATAACGTTACTGAAATCATCCCGTGGACGCTGATCAAACTCTGTCCGCACGATGTGATGCACTTCAGCTTTGAGAAACATCCAACAAGGTTATCGTGTGACACCATATTCTACGAGTGCTGCCAATAACTTCACAGTGAGGGTGCTTTACAGGCAAGAAACTACAGGCACAAACATGAGATTTGGACTAATTTAGCTTCAATAACTCTTTTCTTTTAGACTAGTTCGGGAGAAAAGCATCCAAAATGCACATTTCAGGTATTTCTAAAAAATATATCTGTAGATTTCACTTAGACGCTCTAAAAGTTAGCATTAGATAAAGCTCAATTAACATATTTAAGCATAAAATGTCGGAAAAATAATTGTCATAATGTACGTAATCAGCTAGGGAAGTTTCGTGGCGATATTAAAAGTTAAAATGTTCACACTGCCATGATGACCTTGATACGTTTTATGTCATTGCCCTATTGTACAATATACAGATTAATGTTATGGACCATTTGCACTAAATATTATAACGAAATCAATATGTTATCGACTATCGTACACTGTTTTAATACGATCGGTATCTATTTTACCAACT